AATCGACTAGAACAAGTTAACCAGACTACTTCTATCATGATATAAAGTTGACAATTTCTTAATAAGAAAATGAAGTTTTCTACAGTTTAGCATTTATTGAGTTCAAATATGTAAATTGTGTACATGGCAATTAAGAAATACAATTCATTAAACTGTTTTAGCATTCCCTCTAGAAGCCCATATACAAATGCAAAGCTTCCCCTCATGGTTAGTGTTTTTCTTATAAAAACTGCAAACAAAAGGTGTAAGAAGTTGATGTGGTTTAACTCTTAGCTGTTTGCATCTGGTCAAATTAATTCGTACTGAATCATATTATCGACACTTAAGCAAGTAAGGAATGCACACTGTAGGATGGCCAGCTAAGGGACAGCCTGTTTTCAAATCCTAAATCAAGGTTACTATCCATTGAGAATAGATTTTATATTAGTTAACTAAACAATAAGATGTTATGAATGATAAAGTATTTAACAAAAATTCCTTCCACAAATTGTGGGGAGAAAATTTCATATTAAGACATAAGGTGGATCTGCAACTATCAGATCCAAGTAACAAGCCTTAGCTAGTTTTAAGCCAACCTGCGACTATCAGATCCAAGTAACAAGCTTTGGCTAGTTCAAGCAAACATGCAATGTTTAGCCACAGCATGGGACGGCTCTCATCTCACTAGTTGTTGAGAGGGTCAAGAGATTGATTTTACAAGTAAAATCTCATCATTTCCTAAATATTTATTGTAGAACTTTTACTGGCTTTTTTACCTAGAAAGAGTTAATGGAAAATCTGTAGAATATATTCAAGGAACATAAAATTACCTTTAGCTACCTCTGCTGGTGAGCTTCCGATCAAGCCACCAGCATTTAAAAATCGAGTTAATGTTGGCTTGTAGGCCTGCCATTCAGAAAAAGCTTAAAACACATTAGATTTTCCTTTCAAGAGAGAAAAAAAAGCTTAAAACACAATAGATTTTCCTTTCAAGAAAATTCAATCTTATAATATAATATTAGATATAACTTTGAGATATTGCAGAACACGTTAACTCTTTCCATTTAAAGGTAGTTTCATGCCTTAGCGCTGGAGCAATAAGTATCCATAATTTACACAAACTTCCCCAGAAGATACCAACCCACATGTTCATGAATACATCTAAATATATAAACTTGAAACTACAATAATGGTTCCAACAACAAATCATACAAACACAAAGAAAACACACATCACATATAATAAGAAGAAAGCCACAATAATCTTTTGTTAGAAAAGCATGATGAGACAATTAGTATGGGAGAGAGTTTTCCCTCTCTCTCTCTTCATACACAAAGAGATGAAGACACACAAAAACAAATAAAACAATGTTATCAGGCCATCTTGAGAAGTCATCAAGTTCAGCTGCTAAAATCATGATTGAATAATAAACTATTAAGATCAAAATTTTTGTACCCTGCTAATTGAAGTTTGAAGCCATATGGCGCATGCTTCATAAACAGAACTTATGACACAAAATTAAATCTATAAGATCGCCTTCTTGACAAATTAAAAGACTAACATCTAAGAACTTATGCTTAAGCTGAGATGGCCACCAATCTCTAAGAAGATGAAAAATCAAAAGGATTTTAAAGGAAAACCAATCATAAGCTGATGCAATTACCTGATTCATCTATTCTTGTTCATGACCCAGTCAAATTTTAAAACAGAAAGTCCATTCAGTTTAAACCTGGGTAAACAGTATCTTGAAAAAAAAAAGGTTCCTTTGACTTCTTGATGCAGAAAAACGGGTTTATTTTTGTAATTACAATATTTATGTACTAAGGGTACTAAACTTATTTAGGCACTATTAGAGTAGGTTCATTGTTAGTATTTATTTCTTTTTTAGCTAAAAGAATTTTGTAATCATCTTTATATTTAAGAACTCCAATCATTTAGGCTACATTGACAATATATACATGGAAGTTTTATCATTATTAAACAGATGGTTTATGGAAAAAGCTATTGATAAAACTATGAAACATAACATGTCAAACAATCCTGCGATTATGATTTTTGTCAATCCCTGTAATTTTGATTTTAGTATCTTTTATTTTCTTTAATTTCCTATCTCTCTAAACCCTGATCAGCTGTGCTACATCACTTGTTATCTAAACTGCCAAAACAAACTTCATCAAACAGATGAAGTTTCAGGATGTACTCAATGAAATAGAACAAACCAGGAACTTTAGAGTAAACGAGGCAAAAACAAACCAAATGAATCTTATTATATGCATATATATGTATGTACAGATTTTGAATCATTCGAACAGCAGATTAATTTTCGGAAGTAGGGAATTACGTCAAACCCAAGTACGCAAAAATTTGATCTGAGCAGTTGAGTTGCCATCCCAAATCCCATTGCCCCTAGACCAATAAAACCAACCCGGTTCACAGTTTTTGACTGGGCTGTAATTTCTTTTGCTAATTCCTCCGGTCTGTAGGCCTTTTCATTGGCTGCATTTGTTATATTCACACCAAGTATTTCTTCCCAAACCTGCTTGACAAGAGCGCAGCATATATATAGTAAAATGAAGAAATATTTTTACAATGAAAAGCATTTTTTCTTGTATGATCTTCTTGACCTGTGAAGATACATGTTGAAGCATATGCCTTCTATAACATGGTTTAAAGCTCTAAATACAAATCATTACAAAAGCACTATAGACAAACCTTAACCAAAGGGGTAGCTTGATCATCTCCATGGACATGCAAAGAACCTGAAGAAGGAAATATAGTATATGTTGAAAAAAAACCAACTTGCATCTAATGTCTGAACTGTGATACGGGTGGCTCATGATTCAAAATGTTTTTTTATCAGTACCAAGCATGAGTTGTTGATGGGCAACTGCCAACATTGGAACTGGAAATATAAGAGACTTGGCCATGTCCAAAGTAATGCCCTTGAATTTCAAAGATAAGTAACTCTTATCAGGTGTCAATGAACATGAGGAGCAAATAAAACTACAAAATAATCATAGTGATTATATTGTGTCTCACCAAATTCTGAACAAAAGCATTCAAGAAATTATGTTTTGCATCACTGCGCAGCAATAGTGGAACATGATTCTTGAAAACCCTGCAACGGTGGAAGGCACCAAAACCCCACCCCAAAAAAAGTCAATAAAAAAAAGTGAGAGAGAGAGAGAGAGAGATAAATCAAAAAGTATCATGCAGCCAGTAGGAGAACCCCTCAATCTTCTCTTAATATTAATCTCCCTAAAAAACTATGGAATATCATATTGGGAATTCCACTGATAAATAGATTTGATTTTATTTGATTGTATTTATTGTAATTAGTTTCCTATTTTTTCTCTTGTAACCATCATACATACTGTTGATTTTGGAGTAAGAATATAAATTTTATTTCTCATTTTTTAAATTATTACACTTTGGGTGTTTATACAATTTTTAACCTATTAATAAAAAAATTACTATTCTACTAAAATTTTTATTACATGATATTATTATTCTAGAGGAACTTTAATTATATCATAATAAAATAATTAAATAATAAAATATAATAGTCAACACTCCCCCAAGTTGATGCAAGGATATCCATACCCAACTTACAAACCAAGTTCTGAATAGTCATTTTACAGTTTAACAGTGCTAAATGATGCTCAAAAAGGGCTGCAAACTGGAACCAGATTTGTCAGATAGCAGCTCAGTTCGGCTCGACTCAAAACGGTTCAAACTCGGCTAAAAAATTATTCGACTCAGCTCAAAACGGCTCGGTTCGTCTTAAAAATGGCTCAAACTAGCTCGAGCTCGGCTCAAACTTGGCTTAAAACGACTCGAAGTTAGGCCAAAAATAGCTCCAATACCATGTTAATTTTAGAGAAGAAATATAAATTTTATTTATTACATATTTATACAATTCTTAACCTACTAATGAAAAAAATCACTATTCTACTATAATTCTAATTACATGATATTACTATTTTAATGGAACTCTAATTACATCATAATAAACTAATTAAATAATAAAATATGGTAGTCAATACATATACATGTATATGCTCATTCTCAATACACATTCTCTCTAAGTTCTATATAGTATCAGAGCCTTAGGCTCTTTTATGGATTTTTCTCGACATTTGTTATCGTTTATGTTTTTATTTTTCTATTAAGAAAAAAAAAACCAACATAGTTCACAATCTCGTTTCCCTAAAGCCATTCCAGCAATCATTCATCTTAGCGCATGCTAACTCTATCAACATGCAATAATGCATGCCAAAATTGGTCCTAGCACATTATCTCCTCTACTCTCATCAATTTTTTTTATTCTTCGTCACTGCACAACTGATGCGGCCTTTATTGTTGGCTCCCTCACTCAACTCGAATTCTCTGTCTACAACCTTAATCACTCAGGTTCTTGTCAAACCTCTCTGTTGCCAAATCTTTACAGAAGGAGACTTGACACAACATTCTAGAGAAAAAGATGGTAAAAACAACAAAGATGACGCCTTTTAACGTCACTGGCCAGATCAAGAAGTTCTCATTGATCAATTGTTAGGAGAGCTCCAAAATATTTAGATATAAATATTTTAAGTGTAATGACCCGAAATTTTCCAAATTTACCAATAATGGTTTGGTCTTGATCATTTGGATGTAAATGTGTATAAAGACTTGGTTTTAGACAACAGAAGAGAGAAAAGGAAAAATTAGGTCAACGAAAATTCCTTAGAGAAGAAATTTTCCCTCAAAGAGAACTCAATTTTCCCGGCCAAGAAACATGTTTCGAGGCTACAACGACATCTTAGGAAATTGGAAAGCACATTTGGGAAGTGAGAAAAATATTCAAATTGAAACTCGGAAGAGAAATGGAAAATTAGGGTTAAGTGGGAGAAAATTGGATGAGGGAGAAAAATGACCTTTTGGAGGCAAAATGTTTTCCGGTAGAATTTGAAACTGAAATTTTAGGGAATGTTAGCTAACATGTGAGAAGTCTTCATTGAAGGAAAAATTGGAAAGAAAAACGAAAACCCGCGAGTTGAGAGAAGTTTTCTCCCGAGGAACCCTAAAATGACCTTTCAGACTAAAATTTAATCCCAGGGGAAAAATTGGTGGAATTTGAGACTGAAATTTTGAGGAGAACAAATTAACATATGAGCGAAGAGAGATGTCAAAAGAGAAAAAAATTTTGTAGAAGAAAATTTGGGAAAAAACAAGGGAAAACTAAGAGATAGAGGAGTAAGCTTGCAGTTTGGGCTAATGGGTTTTGAGTGGGCCCTAGATGGGCCTAAAGAGGTCCAGTTGAGCCTATACTAGAATGATTAGCAGCTGAAGGGAGGAACATGTGAACCAAGAGTCGGCCAAAAACTCTCTCTAATCAAGCATGAAGTGGCCCCTTGAAGTGAAGAAATGGAAGGAGGCTTGTGGTTTTGAGTGTTTAGGCTTGTGTGGGCTTAAGGTGGACCCAATGGACTCCAATTGGGCCTATATTTGATCCATTAAGCAACTAAAAGCTGGAGGAAGATGTGAAGCAAGAGGAGGTGGAAGAACTATCTAGAACAAGCACGAGGTGGCATGAAGAGACAAGGATGAAGCTTGAGGTGGCATGAGGTGGTGTGGTGGCAAGCTCATGGCTTGCCACATATCTCCTTCTTGCCGCCATAATTGGCTCCCCTTCACCTATGAATAGGGATGGGGGGAAGGGGGGAGAAGCATAGATAGCAGAGAGAGAGGAGAAGAAGAGAGAGAGAGAGAGAATAGAAAGTGAGAGAACCTAAGAGGTGAAAAAGAGAAAAGTGAGTGAAGACCAAGAGTTTTGTGAGGAAAATTGTGAGGGAATTGTGGGGGAAACTCTGGTGGAATTGTGCAAGAAAGGAAGAAGAAAGAAAGAGCAAGAAAGAGCAAGAGAAAAATGAAGGAAAGAGGAAGCAAGCTCACAGCCTAAGAAAGGCCACACCCGAGGAAACTAGGTAAGCTTTTCCTTTGGTTTTGAATTCAGTTTTAGTTCAAATTTTGTTATTAGTTTGTTAGTAATATTACGGATATTTTCTAGTTAAGAAAGTGATCAAAATCATCCCAGAACTCTACCAGATTTTCGAGAGAAAAAATCTAAGAATTAAATCGGGACTTTGTCGGAATTAAAGTAATGTGTTCAACAAGGTATGCAACTTCAAGTTTTCTTCCTTATGCATAAATTTCTATATAGTTGGTGATATTTTGAGTTTAAATTAGTGATAAATCTACGAAGAGATGCTGTTGAAATCTCCATAGGAAATTGAAGAAATTATAAGGAGAGACTTTGTCCGAGTAAAAAGAGAACCTCAGGAATTTATAAGGGAAGACTCTACCTGAATCAGTGACTAAGCTAATAGACAAGAGGAAAGGTTTGAATAAGTTGTGTAAGACCTAAGGTAAGCAGTTATTGTGGCAAAGTGGCGTTATTATATTTTCTTAAGTATTTATATGTATTGCTGTGATAATTAAATATGTGTTTTGCCAAAATTCAGTTTTGATTTCAGTACCTTGTGATTATCTAGCTTTAATTTATTTGATTTCCGTATCTTCCGTTCTAATTAAGTGTAATGTGTTTATGAAAAATGAATTCCGATTTGTGTGTTCATCACTCGTTAAGAAGGTGAGTCGTTCCGTTTCCACTTGAGAACATATTATGCTAATAATCTGCGTGATTTGTATGCCCTACCATTTCGAGGGAAATCTCTGTACCTATTCATAGCTGTTTCCGCGTTTCGAGTGTGTGGGGAATCTATATTATGTTATTCTATGTCGATACATAGTGTAACTGGATGGTTACCGATCGACCTTCTATAACGGTGATGTGGCTCATTGTACAATGCAATCTATGTCAATCTATGTCTCTAATATTATGTGTTTCTAATTGTGTGATTATGATTTTGTGATTATGATTTCGATTCTAATATTGACTTTGCGATTCTGTTTGCGAACTTTATATGATATATGTTTTCGATGTGGGCGAAATACATATATATATCGTATGTATTAAGGTATGATACCCTTATAACTACTTACTAGGATTGTAGATCTCACTCCTCCTATCACCTTTCAGATATTAAAGTGATCGCTGCAGAGTAGTAATGATACGGAGGAAGGTTTTTGAAGTTAGGCTTTAGACATCAAGGTTGCTATTTTATTATGTTTTGTACTGAAAAAGAAAAAGATAAATTTTAGAGTTTCGAATTGTATGTATCTATTATATATATTTAAGGGACGTAACGTTTCTGTACTATTTTGTATAAATGAGGTTATGTTAATTTAAGTTAAGTATGTGCTCCAATCATGTCATATAAGAGAAGGGGTTGTAATTCGCGACTTGTAGTGGTCCAAATTTAGTCGAGCCTATTTGACGAGAAAAAGGAAAAACTCAATCATCTCCTAGGAACAAGAAGGAAAGAGATCCAAAATTCAATATAGGATGAGCATATTCAATAATCATGTTATGGAGTTTGATGAATCTTGATATCAACAACACTTAGATGTCTTCATGACTAAGAAGATTTGAATTGTGCTATTCGATAGACATGGTTGAAACTTGTGATGCAACATAAGTGTAGATATTAAAGTTGACAATTAGAATGCTGAAACAAGGTATTAAAACTGTTACTGAGTACACAAATCTATTGTAGAACCGTGGCGAGAACTTGACCAGTATCAACACTTGCATGTCTTGATCAAGTCAAAGCCTATATTCTTGGCAAGAAAAAGGTACCATATTTAGATGAGGCTATTTCTTTAACTCGAGCTGAGGAGAGCAGCTCAGTGGTATCTTTGAAGTCCAAGTCCGTCACAGTACTCATACAAGAAACTAAAAGAGAGTCGCTAGATAGGTGGCGGTTCTGTCTTCAAGTGTCTCAAGGGATATGCTCATAATTTGGAACACCATAATCGTCAACTAGGGCTATTTCGTAGGTCAAAGAGTTGAACCAGAGGACCCATCATCAGCAGGTGACCTGACCTGCAACAACTCTGTCGTCCACTATTTTTGAAGATGCAGATGGCAACACCATGCAAGGCCACAGAATGGGCCGGAGAAAGAAGGGGCTGGAACCATAGGACACAAAAAGGGAGAAGTCTCACTTAAAATCTCTTGCTGTAGTACCTAAAACATGGCTGAACGATAGGGCAGAAAATTTTTTTTCTGAAACAAAAAAGTGTAACATATATATTAAATCATCGGTACCTAAGGGGTGCCACCTATTTATAAAACTATTTACAAATCAGTTAATATATCTATACCATTCTCAAAATTCTCCGACCTATAAATATTGTGTCCCAAAATTAAAGAACTAAAACAATGTAATTATCTATCTTTAATTTTAGTCATCAATCTTTCTATCCTCTTAAAAACTCTATTATTCCTCTCTTTCCACACCACCCAAAATAGAGTCAAGGAAATAAGATTTACAAAGTTTTTCCTTTTACAAATCCCTTCCCAAGCCCAAATCTCTTCCCTCACCAATCTTGCAATATTCCAGCTTATCCCCGACAAGCCATAGACCATTGTCCAAAGGTTATATACCACCGGACAACATAAGAGAATATTGTTACAGACTCTCCAGCATTCTTACAATAATAACAGCCATTCGCCATGGTTCTACCCCCTTCTCATCAGTTTGTCAATAGTCAAATACATTTTCTTTCCGCTCCCATGCAAAAAAGCAATTCTTGAAGGATCTTTAACCATCCAA